CTCTCTCTCTCTCTCTCTCTCTTGGATTTACTGTTTAGGAACTGGCAAATTGGTGGCTTGGTGGTTAAGAAGTTCAAATACCGCCGGGCAGTGGTGGCACACGCCTTTTAATCCCAGCACTTGGGAGGCGGAGCCAGGCGGATCTCTGTGAGTTCCAGGCCAGCCTGGTCTACCAAGTGAGTTCCAGGAAAGGTGCAAAGCTACACAGAGAAATCCTGTCTCAAAAAACAAAACAAAACAAAACAAAAGTTGTTCAAATACCACTCTTTTTAAAATTTTTATTTATTTATCTCTCATATATTACATCCTGGCCTCAGTTTCCCCTCCCTCCTCTCCTCCCAGTCCCTTTCCCTGACTTCTCCTCTCCCCCAGATCCACTCCTTCTCTGTTTGCCTACAGAAAAGAGCTGGCCTCCCGAGGAAATCAACCAAACACAGCATAACAAGTTACAATAAGACTAGGCACACACCCTCATATCAAGGTTGGACTAAGCAACCTCGTAGGAGGAGAGGGTCCCAAAAAACAGGCAAATGAGAGACAGACATCCCTGCTCCCACTGTTAGGAGTCCCACAAGAACACCAAGCTACACAACCATAACACATATGCAGAGCTCAGACCCACACAGGCTCCCTGATTGTCATCCAGTCTCTGTGAGCCCCTATGAGCCCTGGTTAGTTGACTCTGTGGGCCATAGTCTCATTGTGTCCTTGACCCCTCTGGCTCCTACAGCCCTTCCTCCCCCTCTTCCTGAGCTCCACCTAACGTTTGGCTGTGGGTCTCTGTATCTGCTCCTATCTATTGCTGGACGAAGCTTTTTTTTTGGTGATGATTATGCTAGGTTCTAGCAGAATGTCATTAGGGATCATTTCACTGACTTTCTCTTCTGCCAGTTGTGTTTGGGTATGTCCTAGGTCTCTGGGCCCTCCAGGCAGTGTCGGGCATGGGCACCCTCTCAGGTGTGGGTCTCCAGCTGGACCAGTCATTGGCTGGCCACTCCCTCAACTTCTGCACCACCTTTACCCCAGCACATCTTACGGGCAGGACAAACTGTAGGTCGAAGGTTTTGTCTCTGGTTTGGTGTCCCAGTCCCTCCACTGAAGGCCTTGCCTGGTTACAGGAGATGGCCGGTTCAGGCTCTGTGTCCCCCATTACTAGGAGTCTTTGCTAGGGTCACCCTTGCAGATTCCAGGCAGTTTCCATTGCACAAGATTTCTACCTCACCACCAAAATGCCCCCCAATTCCAATTATCTCTCCCAATACTCACTACCTCCATCCCACCCCCCCACCTGATCCCTCCTGGCCCCCAGTCCACCTGCAAAATCTATTCTATTTCCCTTCCCAGGGAGATTCATGCAGCCCTCATTGAGCCCTTCTTGTTTCTTAGTCTCTCTGGGTCTGTGGGTTGTAGTATGATTACCCTTTACTTTACACCTAATATCCACTTACAGGTGAGTACATACCATGTTTGTCTTTCTGGGCGTGGATTACTTCACTCAGATGATGTTTCCTAGTTGCATCCATTTGCCTTCAATTTCATGTCATTTTTTTTAACAGCTGAGCAATATTCCATTGTGTAAATATACCACATTTTCTTTATCTATTCTTCAGTCAAGGGACATCTACTTTGTTTCCAGTTTCTGGCTATTATGAATAGTGCTGCTATGAACATAGTTGAGCAAGTGTCCTTGTGGTATAATGGAGTATCGTTTGGGTATATGCCCCAAGAGTGGGATAACTGGGTCTTGAGATAGATCAATTCCCAATTTTCTGAGAAACTGCCACATTTTCAAAGTGGCTGTACAAGTTTGCATGCCCACCAGCAACAAAAGAGTGTTCCTCTTGTTCCACATTCTCACCAGCAGGAGCTGTCACTTGTGTTAATTATCTTCGACATTCTGACAGGTATAAGGTGAAATCTCAGAGTCATTTTGATTTACATTTCCTAATGCATAAGGATTTTGAACATCTCTTTAAATGTTTCTCAGCCACTTGAGATTTCTCTGTTAAGACTTCTCTGTTTAAATCTGTACCCTATTTTTAACTGGATTATTCGGTTTGTTGATGTCTAGTTTCTTGAGATCTTTAAATATTTTGGATATTAGCCCTCTTACATATGTGGAGTTGGTGAAAATCTTTTCCCATTCTGTAGGCTGCCATTTTGTCCTATTGACTGTGTCCTTTGCCTTATAGAAGCTTTTCAATTTTCAATTTTCAAGGTCCCTTTTATTAACTGAGATCTTAGTGAATGTGCTACCAGTGTTCTGTTCAGGAAGTGGTCTCCTGTGCCAATGGCTCCGAGGCTATTCCCCACTTTCTCTTCTATCAGGTTCAATGTATCTGGTTTTATGTTGGGGTCTTTGATCCATGTGGACTTGAGTTTTGTGCAGGGTGACAGAGATGGATCTATTTGCATTCTTCTACAGGACAACATTCAGTTAGACCAGCACCAATTTTTTTTGGAGTTGCTTTCTTTTTTCCATTGTATATTTCTGGCTTCTGTATAAAAAAAAAATCAGATGTCCATAGGTGTGTGGATTTATATTTGGGTCCTTGACTCCATTCCATTGATCAACCTGTCTGTTTTCATGCTAACACCATGTAGTTTTATTACTATAGCGAAATCAGGAATGGTGCCATTGAGAGACCAGACCCAGAGCCTGGGAGACCCAGCGACTTGGGAGCCTAAGGCAGGGAGATGGCTTGAGCCCAAGAGTTGAGGACTAATCTGGACATTAACAACTGTCTCAGGAAGGGGGTGGGGGCCGGGAGAGAAGGCGTGGTGGTTAAGAATGCTCGTTGCACATTTGTGAGGACCTGAGTTTGGATCACAGGCAACAAGCTGGGTATGGTCTCATGCATATAGCTGTAGTGCAGGTGTGGGGGGTGTGAGAAAGGAAAGTTTGTGGGGTACAGGCCTTGCTGATTTCCAGCTTAGGGTTGGGGGGAAGGAAGTTCCAGGTTCAAGGAAAGACGGCCTCAAAGAAATAAAGAGTGACAGGAAAGAAAACAGGACACACACTTCTGGCCTCTGAGCCTGCACATACACATACAGGTGGGCATACAGTGTACACACACACACACACACACACACACACACACACACACACACGCACACAGAGTTAGTTCAAGGCCAGTTGCAGCAATAGCTTTCATTATGTTAAGACAATGTCTCAGAAAAAAAGAAAAAAGCATGCCAACATCTAGCTAAAATAGGGCTACAGTTGAGTGTGATTTGAACGAATGGATCTCAAGAGGAGCTGCCAACCAGGGTGGGAAGAGTTCTTAACAAACTCATCTTACACCATTTTTCCAAACATACTCATTAAAGCTCAGAAACGGCAGACCTTTAGAAGTCCCTCTCATCTGTAGGAGGAGAAACAGGGGGTCTCAACTGCAGCTAGCTTGAGGCTCCGCCATTCTCTATGGAGATGGGCCACATATGCTGGCCTCCCAGAGCTACCACTGGCTCCCCAGAAGCCAAGGGCTTTTACAGAAGCGCCCTTCAAGGGGACCCCTAGCAGTGACAGGCAGGGCTGTGTCTGGGAGGCCAAGCACATAGGAGGGCTTCAGCCAGAACCAGAGAGGGATGTGAGAGGAAGGCTCTGCCGCACAGAGTACGGAGCAGAAGTGACTGATGCGCTCTGGTTTTCTCTGCAGCACCCGTGCCTCCCACGGCTCCTCCTTCCCCCGGATACTACCATGTCCTCTACAAAGAGCATACACAAGCCCAGATGGCCTGGCACGGAGAGACATACTGCCTGATTGGAGGCTACCGTGTCTACGGGGATGCTCCGCTGGCCACCCCTGCAAAGGCTGAGGAAGAGAAGCCAGCACCCAGGCGGGCTCTCAAGAGACAGAGAGTTCAGGAAGAGTCAGACCAAGATCTAGGGTGTCCTAGTGCCAAAATTCCTCGCCTGAAAATGAATCATGGTGGCAAAGGGGTATCCCCATAGAAGCATGCTGCTGAGCTTCTCTGCCCAGAAGACAGGCCGGTAGCTGCCTCCGAGGGCTGAGCCCTCTTCAGCGATGACCTCCACTGACCACCGATGTAGACAGGACCTTAGCTGTTCTTTCTGCCCGTGCCCTCTCCTGTCAGGAACCCATTTGCGTGCCAACTACCCATGAGCAAGAAGCCTCCGAGAGGTGCAGATGCTCTGAACAGCCCACCCTCCCTCAGTCTTCTAGAGTCTCTTCTTGGGCAGGAAAAAGGAACAGTCTGCTGTGAGTTGAGGGGACAAGTGCAGAGAGAGGATACACAGGGCCCAAGCTGGGCTCTCTCTAGGAGTAGACCTCTGCTCTGAATCCTGCCAGCAGCCAGCAGCACAAGCCAGGAGCGGCTGCACTTCCTAAAACTAGAAGAAAAAGCAGTGGCTGACCAAGGAGGCTGGCTCCTGCCCAAGGTCTCAGGAGGCAGCTGAAGAGCCCTGGGGAGACCTGCTAGCTGGAGTGAGAACACTGTGGACGAAGTCCAGCAAACCCCTCTTCTCCTCCTACAGAGGCAGACACTTTTCTTTATTTCCAGATCATTATGGCACTAGGAAGTTCCCTCCTGTTCAATAGAGTGATTTTCTGTGATAGCGATTGACTTAAAGTCCAAGACCAAGCCTCAAGCCTTCCTGCTCCCCTAAAGTAAAATCCTTCACAGAGAAACTGGTTTCTAAAGTCCTGTGCCTACAAGGATACCTAGGTGCACCTTCTTTCTGACTCCTACTCTTGAGAACGAGAGATTTAACCACCAATACCAAATCAGCAAAAGTTTTAAATGAAGGCCTGAAAATACAGGGTTTTTTGTTTTTTTAATTTATCCATAGGCAATTTTATATATGCCTACAATGTATCTTTTATTTATTTATTTATTTATTTATTTATTTATTTATTTATTTATTTATTTATTTATTTATTTATTTATTATGTATACAGTATTCTGTCTGCATGTATATCTGCAGGCCAGAAGAGGGTGCCAGATCTCATTACACATGGTTGTGAGCCACCATGTGGTTGCTGATATTGAACTCAGTGCCTCTGGAAGAGCAGTCAGTGCTCTTAACCGCCAAGCCACCTCTCCAGCCCGAAAATACAGTTTTAAGAGCTTCCTATAGCCCAGGTGTAGTGGCACACATCTTCAATCCCAGCACTTAAGAGGCAAAAGAAGGCAGGTCTCTGTGAGTTCCAGGCCAGCCTGGTCTACATAGTAAGACTCAGTCTCAACACAAAGAAAAAATCCCTCCCTATAACAGGCCACATGGGTACATGCCTAAGCCCCAGCTAGTCAGAGGGCTGCGGGAGGAGCATGGTTGACGCTGCAAGTTGAAGGGCATGATGGGTAATACAGAGTCCCACGCCTCTAAATAAATAAGATTTTTTTTAAAAAGCTTTTCCAATATTCCACTTTATAGTGGAAACAAGGAGCAGAGGAACACACCAGCCACCTTAGAATGTAATCAGCAAACTCAAAAACATGGAAAACACCAAGGACAAAACAATTTTTTTTCAATAAGTCAATTCCAAAGAATGAATTCTCTTTAGAACTGCAAACTAAACCATGACAACCACACTCAATATGTTATATCATTTTTACACTAAAATTCAAATAATTATAGAAAGTTGGCAGTCATGAGGATTTGAACATGATAGTCTGGGACAATAAAGATGTTTCTTAAAGTCTGGCATGGTGACACACACCTGTAACCTCAGCACTTGGGGGACTGAGACAAGGGAATTATGGTGAGTTAGAGAGTTACCTGGGCCATACATTAAATGCAAGCCTGGACTGCAGAGTGACACTCTGTCTCAAAAAAAAAGGGATGGCAGACTGTTCAGCAGGCAAAGGCACCTGTCACCAAGCCTGAGTGTGATCACCAGATCACACATGGTGGAGAAGAGAACAGATACCCACAGGGTGTCCTCTGACCTCCACATTTGTGCCATATGTGCCATATGCACACCTACACATGCACATGCACATGCGCACACACACACATACACACACACACACACAATTAATCTCAACTATATTTCAAGATTTTAAAGATGCCTTTATAGTGATTTGTTTTTTTAAGAGTTCTAGCCTTCTGAGATAAATGCTTACACATGAATGAAATACACATCTGTGATTTGCTTTACTTTCTTATTTTTTATTCTTATTCCCAGTGCTGTTGCTCACACTTAGGGCTTTACACATTCCAGGCAAGCCTTCCACTACTGAGCTAGATCCCAGCCCTATGTTTGCTTTAATACAAGGCCATGGCTGAGAGATGGCTCAGATGTTAATAGCACTTGTGGCTCTTCCAGAGGATCAGGGTTAGATTCTCAGCACCCTCATGGTGGCTCACAAGCATCTAACTCCAGTCACAGGGGATCCAATGCCTTCTTCTGACCTCTGAGGGCATCAGGCATGCTTGTGGTAGACACATATACATGCAAGAAAAATATTCATACACACAAAACAATAAAAAAATAAATAAATAAATTTTTGAAACAAAATAGGGCCAGCAAGACAGCTTAGCATGTCAAGGTGCTTGCTGCCAAGTTTGACACCCTGAGTTTGATTTGAGACACACATGATGAAAGGGGAGAACCAGCCCCTGCCAGTTCTCCTCTGATCTCCACACATGTACACACAGAGAAATAAGTAAATAAATGTAATAAAAATTAAAAAACAATCTGTAGCAGAGGCAGAAGAACTGGCTGAGTTGGTAAAGTGTAAGCATGTGGATCCCAGTTCAGACCCCCAGTACACAGGTAAAAAGTAAGGCGCATCAGCCTGTAATACCAGCACTGGGGAGG